TACAATGTTCTCCTTTTTTGATATGGGTGTAGTTAACTTGTAAAAAGCCATTTAGCTGTATGCTTATGATTTGTGCTCTTTCTCTATGTGTCCTTGAACAAAATGTTCACCCCACACACACAATCCCACTTTTTTATTCTTGGAAAAGAGACTCTTTCCTCTGAATCAGATAATTATCAGAAAATAGAATGGTAATGGATGACACACCCTGTGGCATAAATCCACTTAAACAGATAAGCAACCACCACTCACTGAGGAAGGCCCAATTTGGAGTACTAATGATAGTGCTCAGTCTTCCAGCCTTACCAACCAGTGGGGTATTGCAGAAAGAGATACATCCTGTGCAGCAACTTTCAACATCCTTTTATTGAACTCATACTTTATGGTAGGTACTTATCTTTTAGAAACATTGTACTCACATCCAGGGATCCCACAGAAGTGAAGAAGACTAAACAGAATACAGTAAGATAAACACAGATAAGTATGTACAGAATTAATTCATTGGAATCACAGAGAAGGAACAGTGATGAAAGGCTTCCTGAAGGAGAGAAGTATAGAAGTTAGCTAAATAAAGAAAATGGGGAAGACCGTCCCAGGTAGAAGGAACAGTATATGCAGGATACAGAAGTACGACTCAACATAACACATTCAGGGACTTGAACTTGTCGACATGGAAAGCACAGGGGCCATCAGCGTTATCTTATGTATCCCCAGAGCCTGCTCTAGTACCTGCTTCATAGTAGATATTCAGATATTAGTTTGAAAATATACCTAAAGTAGTATTGGTAACATATGAAGAGGTATTCCAAGGAAAGATCATAAAGAGCTTATAAACCATCCTAAGAAATTCAGAGTTTATCTGAAGGGCAGTGAGAAGTTATTAAAGAACTTAAGTACTAGGATAAGTAGTATTTTTAGAAGGTTCTCTGTAGTATTTTTAGAAGGTTCTCTGACAACTCTATAAAAGGTGGATTGAATGTCTAAAGAGGAGAGAATAAGATAGGGGAATCTGTATGTGTATGTATTGTGTGTACTTGTACACATGTTTATGAGTGGGCATTTGGTGGTGGTGAGAGTTGTACAGTTGAAGCTAGGGAGGAAGTTTCTGAAATAAAACAGGTAGAAATGATAAGAATGTGAACTCAGGTATTGACTGTAGGCCTGATGAGTAAGGGATTAGGGTGATATAGAAGATACAATAAATAGTACTTAATGTCCTGTATCTAAGAAGCCTTTGAGCTCAGGAGACATCTTGGATGATGTCATGACATCCAGATTTCTTTCTTGAGTGACTGGCTGAATACTATCAACACACCATTCCCTGTGATAGGGGATATGGGTAGAGTAGCAGGGTTGTCTTTTGTTCTGTTTTGTTTTCTGCCAGAACCTAGTGTCTTCCCTAACTATTTGCTGTTTTGGTAACTATTGATTATCTACTAGGAGATATTTAATTGGCAGTTGAATAGACTTCAAGGTCGAGTTCAACTCTATTTAACGAGAGTTCAAGTTAAGATAGAGGTCTGAACATCTACCAGAAGAACACATGTTTAGATTAAGCTCAAGTGAAGAGAAGAGTTGGGAGTGCAGATGGGAGCTATAAACTTGTTTTTACTGTTTTTAAAAACTTCCATCATTTTTATGGGGAGGGATGGTTGGGTCATTTTTAAGTCTCATATTACTGGCAATATAAAAGTTCCCAAACTATTTTAAAATTGCTAACACAACTAAATAGCCTGTTTTTCTTGGGGAGAGGGTTAAAAGGGGACTTCCCCTATTTGAGACTATAGGTTGCATTGTGTAGTAGGAAAAGTTTGAATGAACTTTGGAGTCAGACTTTAGTTGGAATCTTGCTTCTCATGTTACTTAGCTATGTGCCTTTGAGCAGTTACTTAGTTTCACTAAGACTCAGCTTACTCATTTGTAAAACTAGGATAATTAAAGCTATCCTTTAAGATTACTGTCAAGATTAAATGTATTAAATGAGATGGGCTTTGGGTCTGGAAGATAAGGCAACTGTCTAAATCTAAATCTCTGCATTCATCTTCCCCAAAAGCTAGACGAAGACCTAAAAGACAAACACACGCATATACCGTACTTGCTGTGTATAATTCGTTCCAGTGTATGATGCACACCCATGCTTTTGGCCCAAACTTTCAGGGAAAAAATCTTTTGTTTTAATTTTTAAATTCAATTATTTATTTATTTATACCTAGATACTTGGTTTGTGTATTATAAGGGAATTTTAGCATTTATTTTTTAACGTATTGTGGTACAAGAAATTTTATGTAACAAATATTTACAAAACACAAGAACAAATACAAGGTATTTCAGGTACTACCCATGAACAATGCACTCCCTTATTTTTCCCTAAAAACTTTGGGCAAAAAAGTGTGCATTATACATGGCAAAATATGGTACTCACACAAACATCACTCACACTTTCAACATTACTGCAGGATAGACAATACCATGAATTTGTAAAGAAATAGGAAATTACAACAGCTCCTGTTGCTGCTACAAATCTCTGAGTCTGGAGAGTAGGACAAAGAACGGCTTAATTAAGAGCAGTGAAAAAGAGGAGAAGAGATCAGTGGCTAAAATGAAATGCAAACAAAATTACCCTCAGAAAGAAAACTTCCCCCACACAGCTGGCAAAATATGAACACAGGCTTGGGACTTAGTGATTCATAGCACCAGCTGGAGGGAAGGGGTGTGAAAGTGAGCAGGGCCGCCACAAGTAGCAACATCAGAGAAACATTCCCCTTGGGAGAGAGGATAGAGATGGGGCACTGTGGCAGTGAGAGGAAAGAAGGAAGGAGAAAATTTAGGGTCTTAGGGAAATGAAATAGAAACAAGGCACACAAATTCCAAACCCACCCACTCATCCATTAAAACTGCTGCTCCTACTAACCAGCAGAAGCATTCCTTTTTTTCCTTTTTACGGTTTATGTTATTTATACCTAGAGAGAGGAGAAGGGAGGGAGAAAGAGAGGGAGAGAAACATCAATGTTTGGTTACCTCTTGTGCGCCTCCTATACTGGGGACCTGGCCCAAAGCACAGGCATGTGCACTGACTGAGAATCGAATCAGTGACCCTTTGGTTCACTGGTCAGCACTCAATCCACTGAGCCATACCAGCCAAGGTATGAAGCACTCTCAAACTAAGAACTCTATCCATAAAATGATGAGGAACAGAAATAAGTCCAATGCCATACAAAACTACCTTAAGAGGAATACAGAAAATATGTGTAAGTGGGCCCGTGCAGTTCAAACTCATGTTGTTTGAGGATCACCTATGAAAGAAGAAGTAGAAACACATAATAGATTTTGAATACATCATAGTACTAGTCTGATAAAACAAGATTTTTCAGGACCATCTAGTTAATTTCCTATCCCAAACTTGAAATTAGCCATTTTTTCAAGGATTTGTATGTGTGTGTATATGTGTATGTTTGTGTGTGTGGTAGAAAATTATGTTTAACAATAACCATCTTTATGTCAGGAGTACTCACTTTACTAGATTGGTCTTTGTTTTTAGGCCTTATCAGTGGAAAAGCTTAGGACATTTTTTAAAGAGAAAATATATCATTAGTTCATGGTGAAATTTCTAATTAAAATTTAAAATTACACAGTTTCACCCTGGCTGGTGTGGCACTGTAGATTGAGCGCCAGCCTGGGGACCAAGGGGTTGCCGGTTCGATTCCCAGTCAGGGCACATGTCTGGGTTGCAAACCAGGTCCCCAGTGGGGGGGTGCATGGGAGGCAACCACACATTGATGTTTCCTTCTTTCTCCTTCCCTTCCCCTCTCTCAAAAAATAAATGAAATCTTTAATAAAAAAATAAAAAATAAAATAAAATTACACAGTTTCTATTTCTCTTTTATATTTGTATCTGTTTTTTCTTGTGCTACAAATCTTGGTTTCAAATAATACTAACAAAGTCAATATAGTTAACCTACATTTTGAAATAATACCAATATTATCAATTATTAATGGTGCAGGTACCATAAAATGTTTAAGATGTTTGCATTTTTTGTCCATGCCATATAGCCTAATATGTATGTACAAATTAGTGTTTTAAATAAATTATTTGAAACAATTTTTGTTTATGTGGTTAAATCATCAACTTGCTACGTAAGTTCCTTTGTTTTATTTGCTTTTCATTTTTAGGGATTTGTTACTTGTATTTTATTTTGCTTTATTTCTTAAAAATTTTGAACGATTCAAGATAGCTGATAGTTGTTTATTTAAATAAATAGTAACTAAAAGTCTTAGGCTTATAGAACAGTGTTTAATCAAAGAATCGTTTAGTTATTCAAGAAAGTTTTTTCAGTTTTTTCTAAAAGTTGAGGTATTAACTATAATTTAAAGGTTTCTGTTATTCTGTTAACTGGGAGCCTATAACCAACCTCCAAGGTTGCCCTAAAAAGTGCAACATCCGACTATCACACACATTATTACTAAACTGTTCTGGGAGTTTCATATCAGTATTTTCTAACACATTGAAAAGCAGTCTTGCAGCCCTGGCTGGTGTAGCTCAGTGGATTGAGCACGGGCTGCGAACCAAAGTGTCGCAGGTTTGATTCCCAGTCAGGCCACATACCTGGGTTGCAGACCACGGCCCCCAGCAATCGTACATTGATGTTTCTTTCTCCCTCCCTTCCCTCTCTAAAAATAAATAAATAAAATCTTAAAAAAAAAAAAAAGCAGTCTTGCATGAAACTTGTCTTAACTCCTTAGCCTACTAATTGTGATTACTCAGTTATGTAGATAACTGCTCATCTTACCCTTCTAATGCCAAAGTAACTTTTATGTGTAATATTTAATACAAGCAAAATTATATGCTGAAAAATTATATCCTGTGGCTTCAAATCTGAAATTTAAAACTTTAGCCATGAAAGTTTGCTTTTGCCACAGCAGTAACAAAACATGAAATTGTAATTACTACGTCTCTTTACAGGAAGTTGGATCCTAAAATATATTATGATTTCTCTTTTTAGAGTCTGATAAAATACCAGTAATGCGTGGACAGTGGTTTATTGATGGTACTTGGCAGCCTCTAGAAGAAGAAGAAAGTAATTTAATTGAGCAAGAACATCTCAACTGTTTTAGAGGTCAGCAGATGCAAGAAAGTTTTGATATTGAAATGTCAAAATCCATAGAAGGAAAAGATGGTAAGACTAATTAATACATTTAGCATGCTATATGTAAAACAAATAAGTTGCTGATAAAGTTTAGAATTGTTTCTAAGTTTGACATAGTAATTTTAGGAATGTTAGAATTTATAAAACTCATTATTTTAAACATTTGATAATTATTATAAAACTTAAAATGTCTATGAATTTCTGAACTATCTCAATTTTTATTTTACTTAATCTGTATGTTTAATGGAATAAACCTAATTTATTATAAATGACAAATTGTTAATGTGCTCTCTGAATTCTTTTCAGTTTTTAGTTACCAAAGAAAAAATTGTCATTATATCAAAGAGCAGTTTTGTTAATATTTTAAGGTTGGTTCTTTTCCTGAAGTTTAAGAAAAACTTTAATTTCTTTTGTGTAAGTATTGCTTAGATGTCTCCATATATATAACCATATCAACTTTTAATTTTAAATAATTTACATGTCCTCATTCAGCATTTGAATGTGTTTGCAGTAGTTTAAAATATTTATATAATAGCCAAAATTACTATGTTCTGTTATGTCTGATCTTGAGTAAAATTCTATATGTGTGGTAAAGTTAAAAATACTTCTGTTGTTCCATTTACTGCAGGCAGTGGAATCAACTATTCTGGTGAGTATAACAGTACAGGTGAATTAGAATTTGTCAATTTCTCTAATTTTTTTAAGCATTTCTTCGTCCATGCTTACCTTTATTTCTTGGCAAACCCTACTAAATTTAGTGAATTAAGCAATTTTTTTCCTTCCCCTCTTAAATATCTTCAAAGCAGAAAAACCTAATATTGATAAAGTAATTCACAGAATGCAGCTTGGAAGACATGAATTTTGTGGTTGGAAGTAATTGTTTATACAACACAGTTAATGGCAAAAGAGTAAGCTTTAAGTTGGCTTATTTTTTTTCTTATTGTTAGTAACATCCCAAGTCTTTTCTTACTCCTCTGCTTTATTTTATCTCCCTGAACACACACACAGAGGCAATGAAATTGTACAATTTACCTTGTACCCACTTAAAATGACTTTTGTAATTAAAAGTGTACATAATTGAGGAAACTTGTGGCTTCTGAATAAATTGACTATTAAATCTGATGATTATGTATAATAATAGTCTGTTATGTGCTAGATACCATACTCGAAGAACTTTAAATAATCTCCTTTTCCTAATCTATAGAATTGAATACATACTTATTTCAGTATAAAACCCAAGGTCAAGGTTTTTACATATCAGCATATAAAGAACAGTTCAGTATCTGCAGAACAGAGAGCTATATCTGTATTCTGCAGATTACGGTAGAGACATTAACTGACAACATTTGTCAGTTACTGACAACATTTGTCAGTTATAGCACAAATAGTAAATTTTATATATCTGTGATCTTTTATTAGTGACTGAAATATTGTGTAGCCTATCATCACCACTACCAAAATAAGCACAAAAGTTACTGTATGTATTTGAAGGATTGACCTTTTTATCATTTCATTACTATTGGGGGTGGCTGAATTCTGGATATTTTCCTTTCTATTAATTCTCATTAAGTCTTGCCTCAAAAATGGCAATTCACCTTAACAAATCCAATTTACCCATCCAAATTCTTTACTATCGATGCATGAAAAATAAAACACGAGAGCTTGAAGAAAAAACAATGAGTATGAATAATAAAAATATAAGTAGATTGTTTCCATTTCTTAATCTGTGTTCAAATGATTTTTTTCCCCACTTGCTAATTTATCCTTTGGAAGTTCATTGTCAGCTCTGTTCCATCTCTAGATTCCATCTCCTGGGAATCTTGTTTATATTACAGTAAAAATTATAATTTTACATGTCCTCTTTACTTTTCCCTATTAACATGTTAAATGTAGCACAATACTTCAGTTTTCCTCAAAGTGCCCTAATTTCATGAGCCAATCATTTAAATAAGTCTATAAAGAACATGGTTTATTTTGTGTGAGTTGTGAGTAGATTTTCATTATGCCTTTGAGTATGTCAATTCTAGAGTATCTAGGATATTATAATATTCTTTGATAGCTTTAAGGATATACACAGTGACAAAATTCTAGTTAGTAATAACAAGAAATTGTTAAACTGTTAAAACACTTTTGCACTATAATCTTTCAAAATGATGATTCTGTGAAGTTCATTAAAAGAAAAATGTAGCCCTGGCTGTGTGGCCCTTGGTTAAAGTGCCCATAGGCCGAGGTTGCTGGTTCTATCTCCCATCAGGGCACATAAAAGAAGCAACCAAGGAGTGCATAAATAAATAAAAAAACAAATTGATGTTTCTCTCTCTCTCCCTCGCCCTGTCCCCCCTCCCTCCCTCTCTAAAATCAATAAAGTAAAAAAAAAATTTGTTTGTTTTTAAGGTCTTATTTATTTTTAGAGAAGGGAGGGGAGGGAGAAAGAGAGGGAGAGAAACATCAGTGTGTGGTTTGCCTCTCACGTGCCCCCTACTGGGGACCTGGCTCACAACCCAGGCATGTGCCCTGGACTGGGAATTGAACCAGCAACCCTTTGGTTTTCAGGCCAGCACTCAGTCCACTGAGCCACACCAGCCAGGTCAGAAAATGTTATTTTTTTAAATATACTATGGCATATAGGTAAAATATCATCATGTTATATTACTAGCAAAGATTATAAGTTCAATTCAGTATACAAACACAGTTTTCATAAATTTCCAATTATTTTATTTGTTATTCAGTATTATATAAAACATGCATTTATGTGTTAAGATGTGATGTTTACTTTGAAAATTATGGGAAATTTGGTAGTGCATTTGGAAATTATAACTCATCTTAAGGAAAGAACATTTGCTGTCCAAAAAGCTACCACTGTTAGAAAAATAACTCACATTTACCATAACTACAAAGATAAAAAAAATACAATCTTTTATTTTGCATATCTCCAAGCTTCTCAAATTGCATGTTTCGTTAATTTGAGTGGGGGGAGAGGGAGCCTTTTCCACCTAAATTTTCTCCTGTATTATGTGATAAAGCCTTAACTCTTCATATTAGCAGGAGATTTTGAATGCTTTCATGTGCAGATAATACTGTGTACCAGGCACTTTTATGAAAGAAATAGATAGGGTTTTTACCCTCAAGGAGTTTTAAGCCTATTGGGGAAGACAGAGGCTGCAGATAAGAACAGTTACAAAGAGTAAGTACAAGATAACACAGTAGATAGTGAATATTATACATTCTGAAAAGGAATTTGGAATAAAGAGAGTTTGTGATTACGGTGCAATAGGTGATTCAGGTGAGGCTTTCTGAGAAAATCCCATTTAATAATTGAAAACATTTTAAAATATAATATTTAGGAATTCTTATTAAGTGCTGTGGGGAATTTCTAAAAAACTAAACAATGTTCTTGCCTTGAAAGACATTAGAGTACTAATTCCTTTTCTTTCTGATCTTATCTATATTTTAGTTAGGGTAACTATTGCCACAAGTATATTGGATATGTTTAATATTTTCTTCTTAATTAATTTTCCTACTAATCTCCAAGTAAACATTATATTAAGTAGATTGATAAAGTTTAGCATAACATTTTAGCCCATAAATAAAAATTTATGATTGAGATACTTTAATCTAAATTTCATTTTTTCTGAGAGTTAAAATAAAAATGGATCATCTTTTCACCCATTTATCTAACAGCCAAACAAATGAAAACCTAGAGTTTCACAGGGAATGAATCATACAAATAAATACCAGGCCTTCAAATACGTAATTCTGTAAATACTTCAACTTAGTAACTAGATTAGTGTTTTACTCATTTTACACTTTATCTATAAAAAGTAGGAATTAGTAAAAAAATATTTGAGCTGAAAGGGTTAGTCTGCACCTCACTTGGGCTAAAAAATATATAACCTCAGTTTATTTGTGAGAAAACAGATGAATTCAAATTGAGGGACATTCTGCAAAATAACTGACTAGTATTCTCCAGAACTGTTAAGGTCATAATTAACTAGATGAAGGGAACCCTTTCACAATGTATACCATCACCACAGTGTACGCTTTGAATGTTTTATCAATTATACCCTAAAAAAAAAACTGAAATATATATTTTTTTAAGTGTCAGAGTCATGAAAGACAAGGAAAGATTAAGGAATTTGTCACAGTTTAAAGGAGACTATGGAAATGTGACAACAAAATGTACCATGGTGCCCCGGGTTGAATCCTAGAACAAAAAAGGACATTAATAAGAAAATTGGAGAAATTTGAATAAAGTCTATATTTTAGTTGATAGTATTGTACTAATGTTAATTTCTTAGTTTTCATAATTATACTGTAGGTATGCTAACATTAGGGGAATCTGAATGAAGGATATAAGATAACTCTCTGTACTATTTTTTCAGCTTAAGTTTAAAATTATTCCATAATAAAAAATTTAAAAAAAAACTGTAGAGGAATTAAAATAAAATAGTAAAAAATATTTAGCCCTGACCTGTGTGCTCAGTTGGTTGGAGCGTCGTCCCATAACCGAAGGGTTACAGGTTTGATTCCTGGCCAGGACACATACCTAGGTTGCGATTCAATCTCCAGTCCAGGTGCTTACAATCCTGGGTCTGGGCATATATGGGAGGCAGCCAATCAGTGTTTCTCTTTCTTCGTTTTTCTCTCCCTTCCTCTCTCTCTAAAAGCAGTGGAAAAAAATGTCCTCACATGCGGATAAAAATGTATATTTATACTTATTTAATTAATGTTCCTCCCCAAAAAAATCATAGGAAAGGAGAAACAAGAAACAAAGTGTAGATGGAACAACAAGAAAATAGATGAGAAATGATAGACTAAAATTTATCCATGTCAATAACTATCACAAATACGTATAAGTGAACTAACAATCCAACTGAAAGGAAGACATTGACAAGATGTGTTAGAAATGCAGGACCCAACTATATGCGATCTACGAGAGCTGCACTATCAATATAATGTCACAAATACGTAGAAATGTAAAAAATTGACTTTTTACTGTTGAAGCTAATTTGGGGTGTTACGACAGTACAGGCATTGATAGATCTGTAAGAATTTACAATATTTAACAATTCGGCATATAAAGTGTATATTCCTAACACTTGCTGGACAGTGATATCCCAAAACATCAGTGTAGAATTTCAGAAGTGAAGAAGACTGGGGGCAGGAGGGAAGGTGGAGTGGGAAGGGTGGTTAGAGAATTCCCACTGTCTAGTTCTTAGTTACTTAATTTTTATAAATGTATCTAAGTTTCTCTGGGATCCAAGAAGACTGTTAGGACTTTTCTCATTGTAGTTGGTAAGTTTGAGATGTGCAGGCCTACTTCCCCTGAAGGAGAGGTTTTCCAGGCTGCCAGTTTTTGTAAAGAGACAAGTTACTGAGTTGTTCCATTCTAGTTGCTAGTGTGTCATCAGCAATCCCCTTTTTTGATATTCTGTTGCTTTCAAAATTACATATTGAAGAAGGTTTCTCTAAGAATTTAATTATATAAAGAAATTTATTGGAAATACTATATTTTATACTTAAAATCTTTCATTTCTGTATAGGACTTTATAAAAGAAAATTTTTATTAAGTGTGAGCATCTAAAAAGCACTTTCAGTTGTATTTTGAGTTTATGTATACTTTTGCTAACATGACATAATTCCTAACTGAAACTTTATTTTAGAAAAAGATAAAAAGTAATGCTTTCTGGCATTTGAATTTCCTTTAACAATGATCCCTTTCTGGATTGATAGTAAACCCTTTTTGTCTCTTCTGTACTTTTCCATGCTTTGGGTTGAAAAAAATTAAGCTATCTATGCTAACAGGATGTTGTGACAAATAGAACAAATGACTTTCAAGCGAAAATAAGAATTAAATTTGATAATAAGGTAAACAATTATGTCTATTTAATTTTGTAAAAATGTTTTTAAAAATATGCTTCTGTTTTTAGTACATTGGGTGTTTGCCCTTTTTTAATTTTTAATTTATACTATTTCTTTAGAAAGGAAAGCCTTCGTGGGGAGGGATGGGTGGGTGGTCTGGAATGGGAGTAAAGGGCAGAAAACTGTACTTGAACAATGATTAAAATAAAAAGAAAGGAAATTCCATTTTTGTATCGTGACGAGTTTTCTGAAAGCATTTGCATAATTTTATTTTATTTTTTATGTGTTACTGTTTACTCTATTACAGTAGTCCCCATCTTTCCCCCTTCACACCCCTCTGCCCTGCCCCCCACTTCCACAGTCAGTCCCCACACCATTGTCCATTTCCATGGATCCTTCATATATATTCTTTGCATTTGCATAATTTTACAGTGTGGTCAGAGGGTCCATATATTTCCCATTAATTTTTCTTTTTTTTAAGATTTTATTTATTTCATTTTTAGAGGGGGGAAGGGAGAGAGGAAGAGAAACATCAGTGTGTGGTTGCCTCTCACATGCCCCCTACTGAGGACTTGGCCCACAACCCCAGCATGTGTCCTGATTGGGAATCGAACTGGCGACCCTTGAAGTTGTAGGCAGGTGCTCAATCCACTGAGCTACACCAGCCAGGGCTCCTATTAATTTTCTTTTAATAAATATACAATTGATTTGTGTTCATTTTACTAGTAGATTTAGAAAATTTAGGTTTTGTTTTTTAGAGTAATAAAGTCTCAAATCTATGCCAGTTTGATCTACTTGGATATGTTAGTTTGTTCCTAATGAATTTTTTTTTTGTTTAAAATGTTTTGTACAAGTGGTACATTTATTCCTCAGTAACTAACCAGAACACACATGTACAAAGAAACATTTTCAATGAATAAAATAAAGGTGTCATTTTCCACCCTTCTATGACAATGAAATGTTTTTATAATCCTGATGTTAACTACCCAGTTCTTAATCCTTGTCTAATTTTTTATAGCCGTCTAATTACACATAATTATATGTAGTTTAGCACCTCCTAAGCATTTCTTAATTACGTTTATTGCATAAATCTTTATCATTTATTTGTATATATGCAAATGATTTTTAAGAATATTTCTAGTATTATATGAGGGGAGGCCCCTCCAAAAAAAGGAATTATCTTCTGGAGGGCAGGCCCTTTTTAGTACAGGCTTCCCCTGCTAGGTGAGTAGGAACCCATCTGTATCAGTGTACCAGTAGGTGTGGTTGTGAGAGACTGTTTTTGACTTCAGTGAATTTTTTTTGAAGATTCTATAAACACATTTGCCCATTTTATGATGGGTGATTTACAGCTCATCTGCCCATGCTGCACTTAGTGTTCAGCAGTTTTTAACCAAAAATGGCATGACCCCTGTGCTCTACCAACCCTACTCACCTGATCTTGCCCCAAGGACTTCTTTGTCTCCCCTGGTGAGAAAAGTCCTCGGGGGGGAAATGTTTTGCCAATGTGGAAGAAGTAAAACAAAAAACTGCAGAAGTACTAAAAGGCATCAAAATCAATGAGTTCAAAATCTTTTCTGAGCAGTGAGGGGAAAAAAGTCTCAGTAGGTGTATTGCATCGTATGGAAAGTACTATGAAGGTGACTGATGTTTAAACATGTAAGAATAAATATACAATTTTTTGATAAATTCCTTTTTGGGGGAGGGTTTTCCCTTGTACAACAGGAAATACATATTTCACCTTTGTGCATTATTTAACCCTTGAAGGCCATGTTAATATAGAAGGGAATGAGGATGAAAATCAAATGTATTAGAAAATAAATTTGAACTCAGTCGTAAAGGTTCTGTGGTTTATTACTGAACTATTAAGAAATTAACTTGTAAAGTTCAAGCAGATTTTAAAATAATGGCTTACTTAAAATATAAAAAAAATATTGATATATAATGAGCAATATTTGACAGGGGAAATGTCAACTTTAAAGTTATTTACTGAATTGCCAGATATGAAGTCTGTGTCTAGCTTTACTCTGTATAGTCTTATTTCATGCTTACAAGATATCACAGCATATATTTTTACTAATGCTCTTATTCTATTCTATCATTAATAACTGAATTAAAAGTAGAGCTTCCAATTGGATTTTTTTTAAGTTTCATTTTTAAGTCTTTTAACAACTTGAACAGAGTTGTGAATAGGATATTGTGATTCTGTGGGAAGGTTCGGTTATGTGTACTTGAGTAATCGAAAGCATCTAGTGGAATGTATACTGTGGTGTCTTCTCAGGAAAGCTGCATTAAATATTTAAAATGTGATTTATTGCATTCTCAATTTGTACATCAATTGTTAGCGGTCGTAGTCACAAATTTGGTGAGAATAAATAACTTTAGTATTAAAAAGATGGAGATTATAAAACTCTTGTACATTCAGAAGTGCCATGCTCTATTTTTTTATTCTGTTTATGCAGAGACATTAAAAATTGTGATTGCATAGTTGTCTCTGTGACAAATTTAGATATCATTTGCCTTTTTTCAGTGAAAGTAGAGCATATATTTGATAAACATTAAACTAATTTTATTGCACTAACTTTAATTAGAAATTATAGAAATGAAACATTTAGAATAATGTTTGTCAAATACAACTCATGTCTTAAAGTTAGTACAGTGAAAAGGCAAAATAGCAAACCTATTTATAATTTACTTTGAAGCTCAGTGTTTTTGCTTTCTTAGTTGTCTACCACCTCCCTCCCTTCTCCTTCCCTTTTCTGTTCAAATGGAGAGGATATAAGGAGAGTACAGAAGCAGCAGGTCTTAAACGAAAGCGTTCCCAAGGTACAGTAATTGTAGTTTTATTTCTCCATGTAGTTATATTCCTGGCTTATAGCACTTAGCTGTATTTAGAGCCTTCAGTTGTATTTAAAGCATAGAAATTATTAGTATTAGTATTTAAAGCATAGGAATGTATACATTGTGCTATTTTGTTTAGTGTTAATTATAAGTGGTAATAAACATTTGGAAATGATAGATATAGTCCAATAAGGGGATATTTGCCAATACTAAGAACGAAATTTTGTTGGCCTAACATGATTCTCTTAATATCTTGATCTTATAATCTCAGTATTTTAACCATATATTGCTCAAAACTATTTTAACAAAAATGTGATTTAGAAACATTAAACAAAAAGGCTTAGAATAGTGGCTTGGATTGGACATAGAATTAGAAAAGTAAGTAATTAAACTTGTGTAAAAGATTTTTTTTAATTTATAAAAAGTTGAATTTATGGTATTATTTTCTTTGGACCTGAAGATATTATTAATATGTGTTATATTAATTGCATTTTGGTCTTATGTTCAGTGTTAATAATGTATCCTGGCAGGTAAGTTAAATATAACCTGGTTTCTCATAAACTTTTGAATTACATTTATAATATCACTAAGAAATACATTTTCCTGGAATGGATTTACTTTTCTGTTAATTCTATCAGGAAATAGGTTTACATAAAAATGTCTTAGGATCTTAAATCTTGATCAAGGACATATATCCTTTCATATTTAGCTTCTGGTTATTTTCAGCCCATCTTCAAATCCAGAGAATTACACTGTGCCAGTAACTAGCTTTGTGTCAAGTCATTTAATCTCTTGGTACCTCTATGTCTTTATACATAATGGGAGATAATATTTTGCTAAAAGAGGATTTTAAGAAAATAAAGTGGGCATAATGATTTGAAAGGTGCCCATTTTCTGAAGATGGGTATGTGAATTTTTCTTACCTCTATACCAGGGATAGGGAGGAAATGTATAAGTTCTTAAAATATGAGAATTATCAAATTATGAATTGGTGGACATGTTACAACAATTTTCTCAGTTCATTGCTTCCACAAACATTACTAAATTTGTGACACGTGTCAGGCACTATAGTGGGACACTGTGTTTGGTATAGTGATTCAAAATAATCAAGACATAGTTTCTGCCTCACAGAGCTTACATATTTCTGGAGTGTATAGGTTTGAATTTTTTTTAGTACTTTTTTACCAAGCATACCTTAGTTATAGAAGTACAATAACCAGACTGATTTGAACATTGTAGTAGAAGAATTTTCTTTGATTTCTTATTAAAATAGCTTCAATTTGGATTTCTGTTATAGTGAGTAATGTCCAGTGATAATTGGCTTTCATATCCATTCCAAAATATCTTATATTCTAATAAATGAGATTATTTTCTTCCCAGTTGAAAGGTAATTTTTTTCTCTCTGAGTCTTGTTTTATTTTGCACTCAGTGAAATTTTCACAAATCCAAAAATAACATCAACAGAAGAAATGGAACTTAAGTTTCTGTGTCATAGTTGTTGAGGACTTTCATCTCTTAAACCTAAAGAATGGTACATCACCTTGGGAAAGCAGGACTTTAATCATCAAAATGCATTAACTACACATCAGAGGTTAAAATTATGGTAGTTAAGCCACTTTCCATGTTGGTATACAAGTTGTCATAAAATAAAGTCCCTATCCATTACTTGCTTTATCAATATGTGTTTCAATGAAATAGTTTTTTATTGAACCAAGTACAAATATGGATTCAAAAATTTGTGTATTATAATTTTTCACACAAATGAAATGTGTCTTGGAGAACTTCAAATTAGTTTTTCCTTTTTTGCAACAGCTATTCGTAGTTTCAAGTTGAGTCGAAACCACGTGGACTGGCACAGTGTGAATGAAGTGTATCTTTATAGTGATGCAACAACATCTAAAATTGCAAGAACAGTTACCCAAAAACTGGGATTTTCTAAAGGTAATTGTTAAATATTACTATCATTTGTTAAAATATGGGGAATCCAACTTGACAGTTACTACCCTATTAAATGAAACTTTTATTAAGATGCTTGTTTTAACATGTATTCATCAGTGAATATATATTCAGAATGATCTGACAGGATTAAAAAATATCTTTTATACTTCTAAAGTGTAAAAGCAGTTAAACCCAAGGTACTGGTGTGAAAATAAAACATAGCAATTGAAACATAGGTAGTGTTTAGGAAGATGAAGACTGAAATGAAATGGAGGTCATCGGTGACTAAATGGATTGATGGGGCAGAGCCAGCATGGCATGAGTGGAAGCTTTAGTACAAGGTGAAGAAATGGAGGCAGGGTTAATAGGCAGCTATTTAAAGACACTTGACTAAAAGAAGAAAAGGGAATGGTGCCTGAGGAAGATATGAGAGCATTAACAAAAAATAAACTTAAAAAAATATTTGTCATGTCTAATTTTTTATTATCTCATTTTTTGTTTTAATTTCTTTGATAACAGGTATGCTTGAATATCTTTTTATATGTTCATTAGCTGTATTTGTTTTGTGAATAACCTCATATCTTTAGCCTGTTATGCTACTTGAATGGTTCGTCTTTTCACCTTGATAAGTAAGCTCTCTTTGTGTACTCAGGTAATTAATTAATTTACTATCTGTCATATTTTGTAACATTTTTTCCAAGTTTGTCATTTATCTTTTTGTTTTGTTTTTTAAGATTGTATTTCTTTTTAGAGAGGGGGGAGGGAAGGAGGAAGGGAGGGAAACATCAGTGTGTGGTTGCCTCTGGTGCTCCCCCAACTGGGGACCTGGCCCACAACCGAGGCATGTGCTCTGACTGGGAATTGCACCGGTGACCCTTTGCTTCACAGTCCTACACTCAATCCACTGAGCCACACCAGCCAGGGCTCATCTTTTATTTTTGCTTCATGATATTTTTTCCTAGAGAAGTTTAAAATTTTTGTGTGTTTAATCCTTCCTTCCTTCCTTCCTTCCTTTTTTTTCCCTTACGGTTTCTGGCTTTGGTGTCCTATTCAGTTTAGCACTTTATGTATGTCATCTTACAAATTTTATCTCTTCCCAACACAGTAAAATTCTTTCGTAGTATTTTCTTGTCTTCTTTCTGTCAATATATTGTGAGAATGCTTTTTTTGGAATAAACAGTGAACTTAAAATCATAATTTTTCTACAGCATCGAGTAGTGGGACCAGACTTCATAGAGGTTATGTAGAAGAAGCCACATTAGAAGACAAGCCATCACAGACTACCCATATTGTATTTGTTGTGCATGGCATTGGGCAGAAGATGGACCAAGGAAGAATTATCAAAAATACAGCCATGTGAGTTATTTGATGAAAACATTCTCCATCTAACCTAGAATGCAAACTTTGTTCCTTACCATCTTTCCCATTTTTTTAAGGACTTTGTTTATTTACTTTCTATTAGCAAAAGGAGAAGGAGGGAGAAATGGAGGGAGAGAAGCATCAATGTGAAGAGATACATTGCCTCTCACACCCCCCCCAACCAGGGACCTGGCCTGCAACCCAGGCATGTGCCTTGACTGGGAACCAAACCTACAATCTTTTTGTTTGCAGGCAGCACTTAGTCTACTAAACCACACCAGGCAGGGTTCCCTTCCTATTTTTAAGAGTCACGCCAGATAATTACAACCAAGTGATTTAGTAGACATGCCTGCTTGCCGAATTGGCTACTTATGTCACCATTTGAGAACTATGATAGTGATGCTTGGAGTATAGGATTGCGTAAGTTTACCATAGAAAAGAACAGTATTTTAAGCAAATGTAATGTTTCTAACTTTGTAACTCAAAATCAGGGTTCCTCAATTTCATCACTATTGACATTTTTGACCATATAATTCTTTGTTGTGGGTGGCTGGCCTATGAGTTATAATGTATTTAGCAACATCCCTGACCTCTACCCACTAGGTGCAAATAGAACCCCTAGTTGTGACAACTGAAAATGTTTACAGACATTGCCAAGTGTCCTCTGGAGGAATATTATCCATGGTTGAGAACCACTAGTCTAAATGAACTTTTTGTTTTAATCCTCACCCAAGAATATGCTTTTACTGATTTTAGAGAGTATGTGTTGGTGGGGTGTGGTTGGGGTGCGGGGTAGAGAAACATTGATCAGTGCCTCCTCTATGTGCCTTGACCGGGAATCAAACCTTAACCTTTTGGTGTATGGGACAATGCTCCAAGCAACTGAGCCACTCAGTAAGGGCAAAATGAACTTTTTTTTCTTTGTAAATTCAGACGATACTACACATACTACTTCCTAACTACTATGTTATAATACAGAACTGTACAGCCATCAAAAATGAATAAGTAGAATAATAGAAATCTTAAAATGTTTTTTCTTGTATAAAACTGAATATTTGAGATGATGACAAAGAAATTTACACAGCATGTCTGTGACCATTACTTGGTGACTACTGGAAAAAAAAAAAGGAACTTGTAGACTCTATGAGTAATAAAAAAGACCCTACCTTGAAATCTGAAGTTTTAGCTACCATTTTTATTTTTAGTGTGATAAGGGAAGCAGCTTACTTTTCGTCAACTTAGAATGTATTTAGACCTTTTAAAGTGGCAACTTCGGGGATTTACAATCAATAAAATATATTACAGTTGACCCTTGAATAGCACAGGACCTGTCAGGGCTCTAACATTCTTTGCAGTCAAAAATCTATGTATAACTACAGTTGGCCCTCCATGTAGGAAGATTCCCAACCAACATGGATTTGAACTGTGCAGATCAGTTGAAAAAAATTGCATATAAGAACCAAGCAGGTCAAACTATTGTTCCAGGGTCAACTATATTATAGTGTAAATAATGCCTTTTAAAATACAAGGTCTGTCCAGAAGGTATCCAGTCATATAAATATAAAAAATAGAATTTATTGAAGAAGATACGAGAAACACTATACATAGGACAGTGACGCCTCAGTCCCCTTCAAGGTAGACACCTTGGGAACTCACACAGTTCTTCCAGTCGCCATCAGCTGCCCTGTTGTATTTTTCTGAATCTCATTGACAGTCTGAAATTTCTCCCTTTCAAAGGTGATTTCAGTTTTGGGAAAAGCCAGAAGTTACAGGGGTCCAAATCTGGGCTGCAGGGGGCTGAGACACCTAGGTGATTTGATGTCTCGCCAAAAAAACTCTGCACGAGACATGATGCATGAGCAAGTGTGTTGTTGTGATGAAGCTTCCAATCACCATTTGCCTATCGCTGCAGCCTTCTGAATCATCCAGATAGTTTCTGCAGAGGAATGTTCAAGCTTATTGCAAAATTTGATGCAAATTCATTGGTCTACGCAGTCATTTTGAATGCGACAACCACATAGTACACATGCTCACTCAATAGCGTCTACTGCCCCCACTGACTAGTACAGTGAAGTCATCATTTTTCATATGTATGCATTCTAGTCCATTCTCCTTAGCTGCCAGGTTACATCGAGGTCACACAAACCATTTTTATTATATATAACAATGACTCTGAATGACAAAAATTAGACTCTGAAAAACTTAAGATATTTAAAAAATTATAAAGCAGAAAAAAAGGGATCTATAGATTAAAAGATTTCCACAAATTACAATGCATGGACTGTATTTGGAGCTCAGTTTAAACAAGCGTAAAAGAATTATTATCTAACTGGGAAAAAAGGATCACTGAATTACATATATGCCCCGCAAAAAGAATTATTGTTTTTGGTATAAATAGTACTGAATAGGTTATGTTTTCCTTACATTTTAGAAATACATACTAAATTACAGAGGAAGTAATGTGATGTTTGGGTTATGGGGGAAAGGTGGTACTATGAAGGAGTTTGAGGGAATGATGTAATTATTGTGTGTTTGATTGTGGTGGTGCTCTCCACAAGATTAGCAGAACCTGTCCAAAATGGCCATAGAGCCCTGGCCAGTGTGGCTCATGGTTGGAGCATCTTCTAGTACACCAAAAGGTTGTGGGTTCAATTCTTGGTCAGGGCACATGCCTAGTTGCAGGTTAAATTCTCAGTCAGGGCACACATGGTAGGCAACCGATCAATGTTTCTCTCTGTCGGTCTCTCTGCCCCCTTCCCTCTTCCTCCCACTCTACCTTTGCCCCTTCCCTTCCTATTTCCTTCCCTCCCTCTCCCCCTTCCTCTCTCTTTAAAAAACAAAACAAAACCAAAAAGCAATGAAAAAAAATGTCCTCAGATGAGGATTAAAAAAAATTACAACAAAATGTCCATAGAGACATTTGGACCACACCAAAAGGTCCTTGATATTTGTTCCTGACCAAAACATCATGGAGACTTTTGGTCCACATTGACCCATCTACCTAACCCTGTATTCCATCAGCAACTAGCCTGCATAGGCAAGAAAGGATATCATTGGCAGGCATATAGCCATAACACAATTAAATTAGTGGACCAATAAAACATTATAGCATCTATTATGTATTAATCCTGTAAACCAACAGCATGTATAAGTGTTATGAGCTGTTTAAACTCAGCAACATTTTTTTTAGCGTGGCCATTTTGGACATGACCAAATAGGAAGGAACATTTGGCATGGACAAAATTTGCTTTGAAATGAACTGTTGTATGTTGTAGTGGTAATTGAAACATAATTGGACATAGTATAAGCAAGTTGGAAGTTGTTATAATTAAAGACATTTTATACCATGTAAATACATATGTGAAGTCACTCTAATAAAGTTTAGTTTTGTTTTTCTTTTATTTTTTTAGGATGAGAGAGGCTGCTAGAAAAATAGAAGAAAGGCATTTTTCCAACCATGCAACACATGTTGAATTTCTGCCTGTTGAGTGGCGGTCAAAACTTACTCTTGATGGAGGTACATTATGTTTAAAAATTAAATGGTTGAGCTAATAGCAACAAAGTGATGTTCATTGGGAACAATGAGTCTTTAATTTAGTTGTCTTCAGGTATATTCATTCTCTGTTCTAGATTATTTATGAAAATAAAATCCATTGGTTTTTAAAATAATACTGACTTAGGTCATTTTGGAGCACTATGTATATTTCACAGATAGCAGTTTCCATGAGTGCCCTCTGGATTAAGGGTGGGAGAAGGTGGTATGTGGAGGGAACAGAATGTTTTCTAAAGTTTTTGACACAGAAAGTAATTTGTCAATACTTTTAGAAGTCCAGTGCACTATCCATTGTACTATACAGCCACCTAAATTGTCAGTACTATTAAAACACTGTTGTCACAATTCCTTATGAGCTTAAATTTTCTTCCTAATACTTTTCCTTCCCTATATTTGGATGATAAAACATCAGACTTTTGTGGTTTTCCTACATTCTCTAGGTTATTTGTTTCCTTCCTTGAAGAACTGTTAGCCAAAATATGCATATCTTTATACAAGTTGTATCCTTTCAATATGAGAACCATTAAAAAAGAATGTTTAGGTTATTTACATAATCTGGAAATGAGAAAGTTGTACTAGATATAATAGCAGCTGCCATTTGTGGAGCCTTTACTGTGTGCTTGGCAATTTGCAGTTCATTTTTTGTGAAATATCTCATTTAATTTTCTCACAAATCTATTAAATACCTACTTTATTTTCTCTATTTTACTGTTAAGGAAACTGAAATTCAGTAAAAGGTGAATTTAACAAAGAATACATAGCAAGCAGAATCTAGATTCCTATGATGCCAGAGCCCTTATTCATCACATAGCTAAATTGCCTCCCTGGATAATTTCTCAGGACTCTTCTAAGTCTGTGATTCTCTCTCTCATAGTCAGGAATGTCAGTTACAGCTATAGACCAAAGTGGCATCAAAAGTCATAATAATTGCAAAATAAAAATGCTAGGGACCAAAGAAGACTTTTCAGCAGCAACAGCACATTTGTAAATTCTAGTGTAAAAACACTATCTTTTGGGCTTTTCCCATTTAGAAACTTATCCAGATAAGTTTCTAAGGCTGCTTAAGAATGTAGACAACATGGATTAATTTGCTTTTAATAAAACCCAGGAGTTTGTAATTTTCTGTTAGGTTTAAAATATAGGATAGAGTCTTTTTTTTTTTTTTTTAAGATTTCATTCATTTCTTTTTAGAGGGGAAAGGAGGAAGAAAGAGAGGGAGAGAAATATCAGTGTGTGGTTTACTCTTGTGCACCCGTTCCTGGGGACCAGGCCTGCAACCCAGGCTTGTGCCCTGACTGGGAATCAAACTAGCAACCCTTTGGTTCACAGGCCCATACTCAATCCAATGAGCCACACCAGCCAGGGCTAAAATATTGGGGTAGAATTTTGAAGGTGGCTTTACGTTGAATGAAAGAAGTTGAAGGAAAATCACCCCTGTTTCTCTCTATTTCTCAGTACTTAGGACACCAATTGGGGGATTATTCCCATACTACAAATTGTCTAATTCTTGGTGGACACCAGTTCTGACACTACCCAGAGATAGCGCAGACAGATTAAGGGCATAGTCCCACAAGACTCCCCCCACTTAAGATGCCAATCACCAGCCCTAGATTGTCACCTGTAGTTCTTATTAACTAGCAATAAATTGCAGGGAGGGGGTCTCATGACCCCATCCTCAGGTTCAATAATTACAAGTATGACTTAACAAAATTCAGGGAAACATTTACTTACGTCTACTGGTCTAAAGGATATTATAAAGGATACAGATGAGCAGCCAGGTGAAGAGCCCTGTATAAGCAAGGTATGGGGATTTCATGTTGCCTTTGAGTACACCACTCCTCTAGTATATCGATGCGTTCACCAACCAGAAAGCTCTCCAAATCCTGTTAGGGTTTTTATGGAGGTTTCATTATATAGGCATAATTGATTAAATCATTGGCTGTTGATAATTGACTCAATCTTCAGTCCCTCTCCCTTTCTCTGAGGTCAGGGGACAGGGCAGAAAGTTCAACCCACTAATGAATGACATGGTTGGTTCCTCTGGCAACCAACAGCATCCTCTAAGAATCACCTCATTAGCATAAACTCAGTTATAGTTGAAAGAGACTTATTATGAATGATAAAAGACATACCTCTCACTCCTGTCACTCAGGAAATTACAAGGGTTTTAGCAATCTTGTGCCAGAAACCAGGGAGGAAAATTATAAATATGTGTTTCTTATTATATCACAGTCTCAGAAGCCAATCTCAAAGGTTACATAATTTGTGTTGCATTTGTGTGGCATACTGGCATACTGGAAAAGGTAAAGCTGTAGGGACAGAGAACCGATCCATGGATGCCTTAGTTTATGAGAAGACAGGAGTTTGAATTAAAAAGGACAGCATGTGGAAATTTTTTAGGATGATGAAGCAGTTCTGTATCCTGATCATGGTTATAGTTATGTAAAACCATATATGCATTAAAACTAAGAGTTAATTTTACTGTTTCTAAATTTTAAAATAATGATAAAAGGTACTTGCCTATAACAAACATCATTATGCTCAGGAAGAGGTAAGGATGACACTCTTTTAACAAATTCCACTTGAAGTCTTAGCTGGTGCAAAATAATAAGAAAAAAATAATAATTTTAAGGAATGGTAAAGATATTATTTGCGGGTCATATGATTGTCTACACAGAATATACAAAATATATTTAAAGAAAAATTACTAGGATTAATAACAGTTTATCAAGGTTGTGCAACAGAAGATCTCCCCATGGTGGGGCAAAAGTAGATTTACAGTTGTGGGTACAGAACACCGAGTTTATTCTTGTCTTGTTATTTTTTTAACTAAATTTTATTTTACATATGAAAAGCTGTAAACTTTTGTCCCACACTGTTTAAAAATAACTGCATTTTTACATACCAGCACAATTAAAAGTACCATAAAAATATAAGGTTCTTAGAAATAAATTTAATAAAATATGTACATTTATATTAAAAATGAAAAACTTATAAAATATTAAATGCATCTTAAGTATAAAGATAATTTTCTTAGATTGGATAGACTTGATATCCTAGAATATTAATTCTCCTAAGTTGATTTATAGATTCTATGCAATTCCCATCAAAATCTCAATAGTTTTTCATGAAACTTGATAAGCTTATTCAAAAATTATTATAGGAGAGCAAAGGCCCCAAAGTAGCCAAGATGTAGAACAAGAGAAGGAGGAGGGGAGTCAAGTTCTAGTACACTATCTTGTTTTTTTTTTAATCATTGTTCAAATACAGTTTTCTCCTTTTTACTCCCAATCCAGTCCCGCCCCCCACCTTCCCCACTTCCCTCCCATTACCACCCTCCCCTTAGTTTATGACCATGTGTCCTTTAAGTCTGTTCCTGTGAACCCTTCCCACTGTCCCCTTAAATTCCCTCTTCTCTCCCCTCCGGTCACCGTCAGCCTGTCCTCTATTTCAGTGTCTTTGGTTATATTTTGCTTGTTTCTTTGTTTTGTTGTTTAGGTTCCTGTTAAAGGTGAGATCATATGGTATTTGTCTTTCACTGACTGGCTTGTTTCGCTAAGCATAATGTTTTCCAGCTCCATCCACGCTGTTGCAAAGGGTAGGAGCTCCTTCTTTCTTTCTGCTGCATAGAATTCCATTGTGTAAATGTACCATAGTTTTTTGATCCATTCATTTACTGATGGGCATCTTGGTTGCTTCCAGCATCTAGCTATTGTAAATTGTGCTGCTATGAACATTGGGATGCATAGGTTCTTTTGAATTGGTGTTTTAGTATTCTTAGGATAGAGTCCCAGCAGTGGAATTGCAGGGTCAAAAGGCAGATCCATTTTTAGTTTTCTGAGGAAGTTCCATACTGCTTTCCATAGTGGTTGTACCAGTCTGCAGTCCCACCAACAGTGCACTAGGGTCCCCTTTTCTCCACAACCTCTCCAACACCTGTTGTTTGTTGCTTTGTTTATGATGGCCATTCTGACTGGTGTGAAGTGGTATCTCATTGTGTTTTCAATTTGCCTCTCTCTGATAGCTAGCGATATTGAACATCGTTTCACGTGTCTTTGGATTTTCTGTATGTCTTCCTTGGAGAAGTGTCTGTTCAAGTCCTTTGCCCACTTTTTAATTGGATTCCTTGTCTTCTTAGAGTGCAGTCTTGTAAGTTCTTTATATATTTTGGAGATTAAACCCTTCTCTGAGGTATCATTGGCAAATATGTTTTCCCATACAGTTGGTTCTCTTTTAATTTTGATACTGTTTTCTTTAGCTGTGCAGAAGCTTTTAATTTTGATGAGGTCCCATTTGTTTATTCTTTCCTTTATGTCCCTTGCTCTAGGGGACACGTCAGTAAAAAAAGTTTCTTCGTGAAATATCTGAGATTTTCCTACCTACATTCTCCTCTAGGACTTTAATGGTGTCACGTTTTATATTTAAGTCTTTTATCCACCTTGAATTTATTTTTTGTATATGGTGTAAGTTGGTGCTCAAGTTTCATTTTTTTGCACGTGGCTGTCCAGTTCTCCCAACACCATTTGTTGAAGAGGCTATTTTTATTCCATTTAATGTTGCTGCCTCCTTTGTCAACTATTAATTGACTGTAGAGACTTGGACTTATTTCTGGGCTCTCTGTCCATGTGCCTGTTTTTATGCCAGTACCAGGCTGTTTTGATTACAGTGGCCTTGTAGTATAGTTTAGTGTCGGGTATTATGATCCCTCCTACTTTACTCTTCTTTCTCAAAATTGTAGCAGCTATTCGGGGTCGTTTATAATTCCATATGAATTTTTGAAGTGTTTGTTCTATGTCTGTGAAATAAGCCATTGGTACTTTAATAGGTATTGCATTGAATGTGTATATTGCTTTGGGTAGTATGGACATTTTGATGATATTAATTCTTCCAATCCATGAACACGGTATATGTTTCCATTTGTTTGTGTCTTCCTTGATTTCTTTCTTCAGTGTTGTGTAGTTTTC